TACAAATACCAGCTTCGCTTCAACTGAACCAAGACCTGGCAACAGCTCTAGTTTTGACTTAATAGAAGGAATATCTATTTTACCCCAAGATTAAATTATTACAATTATTAACCTATATGTTTTGTTGATGTTCTAATAAATATATAAATAAATACATATGTTGATTTTAATAATTTTAATAGCATTATGACGCAGAGTAAGTAATGTTTTTGCACGTGAGTGTACCATGCGCAAACTTACCCCCACTACGTCAACAAATGCTCAAGAAGTTTGCCGGTTATTATACTGGTTGCATCAATTTGGATTTTAAATGAATGATAACGAACAGAAATTTCAATAGCATTCCGTAATATGAGTCTGCGGAGGGACTTCGGTTCCCTCTGTATTTTGTACCGTATGTTCCATGGGGAGTGCTCTGAGGAATTGTTCGAGATGATACCAGCATCTCGTTTTTACCATCGCACCGCCCGCCACCGGAGTAGAGTTCATCCATACTACCTGGAGCCACTGCGGTCATCCACAGTGCGTTTCCAGAGATCTTTTTTGCCACGTACCATCCGGCTNCGGAGTAGAGTTCATCCATACTACCTGGAGCCACTGCGGTCATCCACAGTGCGTTTCCAGAGATCTTTTTTGCCACGTACCATCCGGCTATGGAATGAGCTCCCCTCCACGGTGTTTCCCGAGCGCTATGACATGTCCTTCTTCAAACGAGGCTTATGGAGAGTATTAAGCGGTAGGCAGCGGCTTGGCTCTGCCCCTGTCATTGCTGAAGTCCATGGGCGACGGTAACCACTCACCATCAGGTGGACCGTATGCCCGTCTGCCTACATAGGCAATAAAAAAAAAATGTGACTGTGTTTAAAATTCGAAATAGATTTTCCATTACGTATTCACAAATTCAATAAAAACTAGCAGGTAATCAATATTAAGGGACATTTGAATTTCAATAGTATAAGTAGTGTCTTTTTTGTGTGTGGTTTGTATATTGCAAAATGTTGGCATCATAATTTATATTAATTCTTGCGGAACTAGTTTGGGACTATGTTATGTTAATAACATGTTTACATATTAAAATTTGTATCGGACTCAATTTTTGTTTTTTTTTTATTTTTTATTGCTTATATGGGTGGACGAGCCCACTTTAAATAATTCGAAGACCGATTAAAGGAAAAAATCCCCGCGCGCAAGGCCTTTGAAATTGTGAAATGGCTAACCAAATTTCAACGGAAACATGGCTGACGCTTATCTAACAACTGGGATACTTTTTTAGAGAAAAAGAAACTCCAAAAGGGACTGGAGGTTTTTTTTCTTTTCTTAGATGTGTGGACGAGCTCACGGCCCGCCTGGTGTTGAGTGGTTACCGGAGCCCATAGACATCTACAACATAAATGCCGCCACCCACCTTGAGACATGAGTTCTAAGGTCTCACTTGTAATAGTACAGTCCGGTAGGCATAGCAGAGATATACTTTAGTTTCCACCAAACGCTGCTTGAGAAATGCTGTACACAATAATAATTTACAATAACTAGCGGTCGCCCAGTAGTCGAAACTCGATTATAATTATTAATTTCAATTATAAGTTTGAACATTATTATGGTTCTATTGTCAAAGACTTTACTTCTATAATCACAGATTTCGGCATGGCTACACTATAGACAAATAATATTAAAGACAAACAATGTTAATCTATTCTCGACTTGACCTCAGACTTTAACAATAAATAGAAGAGTAAGCATGCGTGTGTGTGTCAAATACATGGTAGTGTGTGTAATGTTTTTTTTCATTGATTTTATGTATTTTTTACGCATAATTTACAAAAATATTAACATTCTACACTCCTCTATATTCTCTATTAGTGTAGGATATTTCATACTCCTCCGTCTGCGTAATTTTCGTAAAAAGAAATACAAAGTTTTAGCTTCACGTATTAATATATTTTACAATAATACTCTCGGATTTTTCAGACAGCAAAAATCATAACTCAAATAGAATCATATTAAATCCTGATTTAATGTGTACTAGGCGACCACAAAACCACAGTCCTCGAAGGGCTGAGAGCAACGGAGTAAATTAATTTTATTTTAAAAGGTTTTGTTTGTGTTCGCTGTTGGATAAAGGAGCAATGTAAAAGATTTATCTCGTCTGCAGAGATGGTATCCGCTTTAAAGAACGGGACACACTGCAATGAGATATTTTCATTAGTGTGACCGAAGAATAGACAGGCAAAGACCGCAGTATATATACACGTAAGTTGATGTAATAATGATCTCGACATATCCTTGGGAACACAAATCTTTCTGGATGCATCGATGGCTTTTGTATCAACGATTGGCTTGACATTAGCAATATCTTTTCATATTATCAGAGATTGCGATACATTTATGAGTAGCCACTTTGGCAACCTTCGTATTCTAGTAAGCTCGAGGGGTTATTCTAGATTCGCCGCATTAGTAAGTAAGCTCACGGGGCTCAAACCTGATGACGTTGCTAACACGAACCCTAGCAAGAGTCGTGCTTCGCAGAATCTACCACCGGATCGCAAACGCGACCCGCTGAGAAGATACGGCGAGAAACTCAGTGGGCTATTTTGGCTATGCTACATCAGATACTNCCTTCGTATTCTAGTAAGCTCGAGGGGTTATTCTAGATTCGCCGCATTAGTAAGTAAGCTCACGGGGCTCAAACCTGATGACGTTGCTAACACGAACCCTAGCAAGAGTCGTGCTTCGCAGAATCTACCACCGGATCGCAAACGCGACCCGCTGAGAAGATACGGCGAGAAACTCAGTGGGCTATTTTGGCTATGCTACATCAGATACTATACGTCATAGATAGCCACTAGCTCCTGATAAACATTGCCAGTACATCCTCGGTTCGTATCAAAAATATTATTCTTCAATTCGATTACATAATTTGGTATCTCTTAAACTGTTCATTGATTTAGCAACGCAATCCAATAAATAACGTTTTGTTGTACTAATACATTTCAATGTCATTGAAACGGCCGTCATGACATTGAGAATTCGAGATTGTGGCTCAGTGTGGATTGTAGCATTCACGTTGTGGCTTAAGTGTGCTGTGGTTATATTAACGTCACATCATCGATAGCCCATTGAACGGTCGAAGGACCACTTAAACGGTCGGTTAG